TGTAAATTTAGCAGAAACTAGCTAGTTACTATAAAACTAATTTCTTCCTCCTCCTGGACACATTGTAAAGCCTTATTTTCTGGGCCTGGTGCAGTAGCCTAGTGGCTAAAGTCCCTGCCTTGTACACATTGCTATCCTGGTGGCCCTACTTCCCATCCAGCTCCCTGCTAGTTGCCTGGGAAAGCAGTAGGGGGCACACCAGAGCCTTGGGACCCTGAACCTGTGTGGGAGACCCAGAAGAAGCTTCTAGTTACTAGCTTTGGATTGTCTCAGCTCCGACCACTGCAGCCACTTGGGGAGAGAATCAGTGGACAGAAGATCTTCCTCCTTGTTTTTCATCCTCTCTGTGTATCTGACTTTCCAATAGAAAGAAATAAATTTTACAAAAAACCCCACATTTCCTGGCCTCCTTCATGGTGATTATATGGCTCTTCTAGTTACCGAGTAGAAGTCATATGCATAACTCTTAGATCTGGTGATCACAAAATGCTACCTCACCACGATCCCTCCTCTCTTGTTTGTTGAATATCAATGCTCCAGTTGAGGTTGGAAATTTCATAGCAGTAGAATTACCAGTCATCATAACTGCTAAATGACTAGATGGTGTAAGTTCCTGAGTCTGAAACGCCAATCAAGAAGTTTTTTGTTTGTTTGTTTGTTTGTTTTAGTGAGGAGAAATGAGCTTCTTCCAGGTAAACTACGGATATCTTGAGATTTCTGTGCTGTAGAAATTAATGTTAACTAATAAGGCCGATGCACTGGTAAACAGGCAATGCTTCTACATAGAGGTGTGCTCATATTTATATATTTATATATATTTATATATTCTTAGATTCAGAACTCAGTGGATAAAAATCATTACCTTTAAAACAATACTCATCTAAGAATATGTCTGTATAGATACACATGTGCATAATCACCATTCATTTATTGGATAAATGGACATCTATAATCTGAAACGCTAGCCTCTATGTCCCATGTGGCTTGGTTACGTCCATGATGATCATCATTGTAAATGTAGTACTCAGGTTTCTTAGCACAAAAAGGAAACAAGAATTTTACTAGATACATAAGCATTCATATACATGTAAGTAAGTTGCTTGAAATTTCCTTCCTGGAAGTCTCAGGCCTCTCAAAATCTCTCCTTAGACACATCACATACCTATCTTGACTATTATTCCTGCCTTTCTAATACTCTTCCCATAATTCTCCTGATCTGCATTTCTAAATCCACACTTGTCAAGTTCCCTCTGCTCTCTCACCAGCACTCTCTCCTTTTCTGTTTCTCTTCTTGCCTATTTTTTTTAAACGACATAATTTCCTACATAAATGCCTACAATCTGAGCATTTGTTAGAATTCTGAACCTTTATAACTTAAAAAAAGAACTGTCCATTTTTGCTTTACAATACTCCCAAATCAATTTCTGTTCTTTCTTAATACTAATGTTATTATCATAACATCCAGGTTCAGCAGTTGGATCCTGAGTTCTTGCAGTAGTCCATGAAAACTAGGCCCAGTGCTTCTTTTTAAAATTAATTTTGTTTTTCCATGATACAATTCTATAGGCTCTGCGATTTCCCTTCTCTCTTCTCCAAATCCCCATGCTACCACTGATTTTTTTCTATATCCATACAATAGTATAGTTCTTCACAATCAGTCATAAGTCTATTATTCTGCTACTTTAGTGTGTCCTGACACTGTAGGCATGGACAATGGCAGACAGCCCAGCATCCTATTGTCAGGATACATTCAACAGCTGGATTGGGAGTTCATCTTTGGGAAGCAGAGATGCAAACTGCATCCTCTTAAATGAAAAACAGTAAAACAAAATCAACAACAGAGAGAAAAATAAAAAATTTACAACATCATGAAATTGAATAACATACTACTGAATGACCAATGTATCCTTAAGAGATGAAAAAGAAAATCAATGAAGGAAACGATACTATTGTGCGACCTACGTGTCAGCGAGGAAGTTTATAAGGAAAAAAGAACGTTTTGAAGAAATGATCAATAGCCTTTTCATTATTGCTTTTGCTACATCTCATGGGCTTTGATATTTTTGTTTTTATTTTCATTTCTGCCCCAGTGCTTCTATCATCAACTTGTTTTTCTTGCTTCCCTGACACTGATTTTCAAAACCAGAATCACGGGGCAGCTGCTGTGGTACAGTGGGTAAAGCCACCACTGACAACAACGGCATCCCAAATGGGTACTGGTTCATATTCTGTCTGATCCACTTCCAATCCAGTTGCCTGCCAAGGCCTGGGAAAAGCAGCAAAAGACTGTTCATATGGGAGAACTAGAAGAATCACCTGGATCTAGCTTGTTCATCCCTAGCAATTTTGGCTACCTAGGAAGTGAATCAATAGATGCATGGTCCCTCTGTCTCTCCCTTATTCAAACATCAACTTTCAAATAAAATAAATGGATCTTTAAAACCCAAACTACCACGCTTCTCATGCCATGTTCTGTGACTATTAGGTTATCCCTAATAGCATCAAGTTTAAACTTATTAGCATAATGATGGTAAGGTCTGTCAAGGTAGCTCTAAACTCTTTAAATACCCAACCTGCATGGCTCTCAGTTTCTGATTCAGAAAAATTGTAACTTACTAAAGTTTAGTGAATGACTTCTACTTTCTATATTTCTGCTTTTCTTAGCAAATTTTCCTTTTTAAAATATACATCTTTCATCTATAAATATTTCAACCAAGAAACACATTAAAATAGTTTTTCATTCATCCTTTTCCATTGCATGTCAGGGTTTAGCCTTTCCCCCCTTATTCTGAGTTCTTAGCTCATTTGTAATGCATATGAGCATTTTAAAATTATCCACACTTTGCATTGGGCATGTCACTCAAATTCTGATTTAAATTTCCCCCAAGCCAAGCTTAACTCTCCATATAATCATTTTGCTTGAATGTGAATAAGTCCCAAAATTTCTCACTATTCACAAATTCCATATTTTCCAATTTTAACTACTTGCTAAGATGTATCTGCCATCCCTGAATCAGGACTTGGAGCACTAGGACACACACACCCTCACAAATGTGCTCAGAAAAGAAAAAAAAATGCATTCCAGGTTTGCATCTAAGGTTGCACAAGGTGACAACTGCCTTCTTGTTTTCGTTCATACTGTACAAAGAGCTCTTTTCATAGTCTATTTGGGGATGTTTTTTCTACATTTTTTCGTTGTTAGAGATAATGCTGTTTTTAACGCTTCTCATGCATGGTACTGAAGTGGTGTCTGGTGTTCCTAAGATCCACAGGATGCAACACACCACAGAGAGAACGCATGCAGTAGGTAAGTCTCATTCAGACATGAGCTTCAAGGCTGTTGCTTGTGAATTCTATATTAATGAATCAACACTAGTTGTGAAAACTGTTCCTGTAAGCAGAAACACCTTCTTGGACAGATCTGTTGAAGGAAATGGTGTCAGAGGCCAGCGGGAACCTAAAGAACTATTTTCTCTTAAGTACAACAATTGGTGTTCACTGACATGCAGACACCTCCACAAAGATGACTTTATAAAACAAAACAGCCAAAGACAATGAGATTGACTGCACAGGTATGCATATATAGATAAATGCATGTACATAATTTTATATATGACTAAACAGTCATTCAAACAGATTTGAACATTCAACATAAAAATAAGTACACATAGAAGTTCTTATTAAAAAGCATGGAGAAGTAAGAGACAGGAGGAGGAGGAGTGGCAAGAATGGAGAAGAAGGCAGGGATGGAGGAAAACCTAAGCCTTGGCTATCCCTTGGTTACCATGTTCTCTGAATTGGGATTTCCCTCTTAGTCTACATTAAATACCTAGAAAATGGTAAAATCAAACTAATAACTATGGATTTTAAGTTATTAATTACAACAAATATAATGAAAATGCAGAAGAGAATAAATTTATTGAAAACACATTATTCAAAGATTTGTGCTAAGCAAAAATGTTGGATGATTTCCTTTATTGCCAACAGATGTTGCAATCTTATGCTTAATAAAAGTGAAAATAATTTAGGTAAATTAATGCCTCAGAGGTAGAAAACGATCAGAGGAGATTTAGAGTAGGATCCCTGATCCCAGTGTCAAGTGAGTTATTAGCTATCCTGTTCAATGAACATCTACCTCCTTCATTCTAAAAATTACTAAAATATCAGCTAGAATAAAAGTCAGAAATGTACTGGAGGACACTAGGAGATCAGAAAAGATCTACAAATCAGTTCAAAGGCCTTTTTGAGCACTTTTACATCTTCCCACAACCAAAAAGAGGCTAAGAAGGGCGATTTGTATGGGATTTTTTTTCTTCCCAGCTTATTTTTTACTCATACAGAAAAAAAATACTGACTCTATGATCCAAAAGGATAACGACTAGATCAAACTCCAGACTTAAATGAAAATATTAGGCAATGTTAGTTTTGATATATTTATAAAACTTGTGTCATAAAGTCAGCTGCATCTAAATTCTGATCAAATATTTTAAATTGCTAGAATTATCTAAGAACATTTTGGGGGGTGTAATAGGATACAGAAAGAAACCAGGGTTTAAGATTTTTTAAAATGCCATGTCATCAAAAGACAGTAAATCAATTGTAAATTTCAACTCTGAAATGATTTTCCTGCAAGTTAAATTGCAGGCGCATGCCTGAGGAATTCTAGAAAAATATCTGTGCTTCAAAGAAGCGCATAACAGCTTTAGAGAAGCCAAAAAAGAAAATATCAAGCAAAACAGCATGGCTCCTGTCTCCTTTCCACATTCTTCACTACACAACCTGTTACTTAAGCTGCACATGGAAATCTCTGAAAAACAACAACCATGTGTGTCTCCGCAAACTAGCAATAGGAAAATAGAAGAAATACCCCCAAGTAACCCCAGATTATTCATATTTTGTAATGCAATTAAAGTGTCTTTTCATGCCCTTTTCACAGCTAAAACATTCTGTCAAGCCACCGTTTCACCCTGCACATGTGGTCAGGGACTAGTGTCACTTACCCACTGTTGATGTCATCAGTCCTGAGACTTTTTCCAAGGATGTCACCATCACTCATGTAGCCACCAACATCAACCTCAGAAGACACATCCAAGTCACTGCTTGCTTTCTCACTCATGTCCATTTGTGACATATTTCCTAGTCGAGAGACAGCAGCCCGACGGAGAGGTGTTGTGTACATGAACCTCGAAGGGTCTGTGTGGATGAAGCGACTGGTGCCACTGCGTGGGTAGCCAGCACCCAAGGAGGGAGCATCTCCAGCCTGCAGTCGTGGACAAGCTTGACCCAATCTCCAGGTCATGGGAGTCGGCCGACCTGTCAAGTTGGGGATGGTTCTTCCATTCACTTCTGTCGTCACAGTGCTATCAAATGTTGTCTCCAGGGTGCTGTCAAACAAGATAGAGAAGCATCTATGCATTGGCTCATTTCGGACGTAAGACCACAATTCATGAAGATGGGAATTACTAGAGTGAAGAGTCCTTTAGCAGTATGCCATTTCCATAAAGGCAAATTGTTAGGTATGCTCATTTGATGATGATGATGATATTTTATGGAAAGGGACATTTCATTCCCAATTGCATTTTGTTTGTTTCTAGAAAAAGGTCACAATTGTATTTTGAAAAAAAAATTATTGTTTTACTTTCTCACAAGCAATTAGCTCACCCAAATGTAACTTTCTCAGCTATATTCTAAAAGTTACTGACAATTATGCTTGAATGTCTCCTACCAGCCTTTTCAAGTATATTTTAATTGCATTTTTGCCACTCTTCCTTTGTACAATACAATTAGTAGTAACAGTGTTATTTGCAAACCTATTTCAGGTTGGATGGGAAGCTACATTGAAGAAGAGGTGGACAGGATCCCTGGAGAATTTTCATTTTAAGGAAAATCATCAATTAATTGTCATGTGAAATGCATTTAATAAATGGTGAGGAGTAACTCAAATAGTTTTTTCCAGCATTATTAGAGGAATGTCTGATTACAATAGTTCCATCATTGCTCTTAAAGCATGTAGAATTGGAAAAAAAGAAAGAAAACCTGTGGCTTATCTGGGTCCCACGAAGGCTAGACATAGTTTCTTCTAAATTCTGCCTCAAATCAGCTATGTTTTTCACAGTTCTCAATCTTCTTGTTTCAGGGTCTTCACCTACAAAGCAACATTTGTTATTCATGCCATTTTCTATTCTCAAATAATTACATTATGAGTATTATGAATACTTCTTAAACAATAAAAACCAGAAATTTCAAAAATCATCATTCTGAAATTTTTAATTCTTTTTACCAAAAATCTGAACATAGACAAACAGAACATCACAACTGATAATTTTTGAAGTAAGGATAATATAATTTTGGATAAAAACTACATGATTCATACTCCTGAGTTTAATTTTAAAAATCTAAGAATATGTGGAACCTAATTATTTCAATAATCACATGTACTATAATTGTATGCAGAATACATGGAATGACTTCTGCTTATGAAGTAAGTGTGTGGGCCCAGGCAAATCAGAAGCCAAAATTCATTCCAGGCTTTCTACATGGATGGCAGGTACCTAAATAATGAATCAATGACTGCTTCTCAGTATGTACATCAGCTGGAAAACGAAATCAGAAGGGATAAGCCAGGACTTAAACTGGAAACTCTGATATGGTATATGGGAAACCCCAGTAGTCTCCTAACACTGCTCACCCTATAAGCAATGAGCTACTTTTTAAAAGATTTAATCATTTTATTTGCAAGACGAAGTTATAGATGGAGGGAGGTAGGGAGAGAAATAGAGAGAGAAGAGAGAGAGAGAGTCTTCTGGTTCACTTCTCACATAGCTGCAACAGCCAGTGCTGGGCCAGGTCAAAGCCAGGACCTTCATCCCAGTCTCCCTCTTGGGTGACAGGGCCCCAAATATTTAGGCCTTCCACTGTCTTTCCCAGGTTACTGGCAGAAAACTGGATTGGAAATGGAGCCAAATATTCATATTTGTGACATAGAGCTCAAATAATGTTCTAGGCATTTAAATCCAAAATATTTGTATCTAACAGGGTTGAAAGCAAATAGTGTTGTTATGGTAATGCTGTTCTCACTCAATCATGACCTATTACTTGGGGGTAGAAGTGCTGGGCAATGACTTTGATTACTGCCATGCAACATCTAGGCCAGTGTGCACTTGAAGTTGGTAAGTCTAGATAAGAAAGGTACATAAAAGGATAACAGAAGTGTTTTATTCTGTTCATTTTTAATTGAGCTGGATTCCAAGAATGGAGATTTTCAATTAAAGAAAAAATAAGGAAAGAGGGAAGCTAAAATGGAATGGATGGATTAGAGGGATGGAAGGAGAGGAGAAGGAGAATGGAGGATGGCAGGAAGTTACTGGAGAAAGAGGGGAATGGAAGGATTGAAGGGAAAGGAAAAGGTAGGCAGATAAACAGCATATATTAAATTACACCATGAAAGCAGTCACTCAGATGGAGAAGTCTAGATGTGCATCTCTAATCTGCTTTAAGAATATGGGTAGCTACGATTGGACAGTTGGTGCACTGGTTAAAACTGGTGCTTGAAATGCCTGCACCTTATATTAGAGTGCCTGCATTAATCAAGTTCCAGCTGTGTTCCTGATTTCAGCTTCCTGATCATCTAAATCCCGGGAGGTAGCAGGTGATGGATCAAGTACTGGGGTTTCTATCCCTCACGTCAGAGATCACATCGCGTTTCCAGACTGTGATAGTTGTTTGGAGGAGTGAGCCAGTGGGCAGGAGATTGTCTCTGTCCCTCTTCCCTTCAAAATACATGATTTTAAAAACAAGAATATGGGTAGCTACTCCAATCTACTAATTTCAGAGCACTGAGGTCCTATTTTTTTTTAATGTGCCTATAGTACATTCATAATCATGATGGAAATGTCAGAGATTATCCCCTTACATCTCAGACAAAAAGCTGATTTGTTTTATGTAGGGCATGGCTTAGGTCTCTGTGTGACACCTCTAGCAATGAAAAGAGCCCTCACACCTGCAGTGAACAATGGTTCCTTCACTTGTTACATCTCATTATGAAAATACTGATGAAGTATGAGCAATGTTCTGTCTCCTTTTCACTTCTACCTAGTGGCCCCAATGGGTCTGAAACAGACTGAACAAATGTATACTATCTTAGCCATGGCAGTCATTCAAACATTGGAAGGCAACTATTAATTCTTCGATTATCTTTTTCAGCCAAACACTGCTACTTTGATTAGCATTCCTCTTTTGGGATGGCTGCCAAAATAACAGCCATTCTGCTGCCAGTTTGTAAATCTTCTTTCAAGTCATAAATTATTCAAACAATTAAAAAGTGCTTCATAAGAGTGTTATGGTTTGAAACTTAGTATTTTAAAAAATTCCCTAAAGAAACTGTTTTTAAAGATTTTGCTTTATTTTTATTTGATATACAAGAATTTCAGACAGAAGGACACACACACACACACACACACACACACACACACACACACACACACATCTTCTATTCTTTTGTTTACTCCCCATATGGCCACAACAGTTAGAGTAGTGTCCATCTGAAACCAGGAGCCAGGCACTTCTGGGTTTTCCATATGGATGTAGGGGGTCCAAGGACATGAGCCATCCTCTGCTGCTTTCCCAAGCCATATGCAAGGAATGGGATTAAAGTGGAGCAGCTGTTACATGGACCAGTGTATATATGTGACGCCAGCACTGCATGGAAGCCTAGCCTACTATGCTGCAGAACAGGCCCTTGGGATTGTGTTTTTAATCTATATTTTAAGAGATGAAAAATCATATGTTGGGTGCTCATGGACATGGCAAAAACATTTCATACATTAATTCAAGTCATGCAAACTTTATTCCTATAGATTAATACTACTTGTACTCTCAGAACTTTTAATAACTTTTGAGGCTGTGACTGCATTCTTCCTCGAAGTTGTTCACATGCTTCTCTTCATAAATATAACATAATGTATTTTGGAAATAGCTATGAAGAAGATGGTCTTTCATTTTCAAATAATCTAGAAAGAAATTTGATGACAAAGAAGGATTTGTAGGGTAAATCTTAAAGGATTGAGAAAGAATGTCAATATATTCAGAGAAAACGCAAAGGGAAAGTACAGCTTTAATCAACTGAGTCAAAAGAAATAATGAACACAGAGGAGAAATCTAGAAGTGCATTAAACCTAAGACTCACTATGGGAGATTTATTATAGCAGAGAAACATTCAATTCTAGGTATTTCTAAGAGATTAGAAATCATAAGCAAAGGAAAGTACTACAGTTTTATTTGTTGGAGGAGATGGAGAATACAACTCAATGAATTTGTAAAAGTTCCCTGAATAAGACATTATATATGTCACCTATCCCTGACCTGGGTCTCTAGGATAACATCCCTCCGGCATTCCAAGTTTGGGAGAACTTCAAAGTGTAATAAAAAGACATGTTAAGAACTCACCAATTAGCAGAAACTTGGATTATGTTTAGTATCTCTTTAAATTTTATTTTCATTTTTTTTATCGTAAAAGCAGAAACAAACACCACACACACACACACAAACACAGATAAAGAGAAAGAAAAAACAACAAAGAGAGACAGACAGAAAAGAACCTCTCATGCTTCATTTGTCAAATGCTAGCAACAACAGGGCTGAACAAAGCCAAATCCAGGAACCTGGAATTTAATCCACATTTCCCATGTAGGCAACAGGGACCCAAGTACTTGAACCATCATTAGTTCCATTGCATAGCACACATTAACAGGAAGCTGGAATTGGAAGTGGATCTGAAGATGAGCCCAGGCATTCCAACATAGGATATGGACAACTTTATATTGTCACCTCCTACTAATACCTTTTGTACAATAAAGACAATTGTAGTAACTACAGACATTCTGTTTCACTATTTTTTACATGTCCATCATCTTTTAAATTCTGTTTTTCAATTCAGCGCAAATCTGAAATCTTCAAACTCTTCCTAGTGAATCCATTGCTTTCTTGTATTTTCCCTCATGTTTCAGAACCACAGCCTCCTTTTCTACTTTTTTTTTCCATCATGATGTTCACTCGTGACACAGAGTCACTGATGAAAATCTGGCAAATGGACTCTTTCCTCAAAATACTTAGCAAAAAATTGTTGCGACTTTATTCATACCATGAAAGATAATAACCAAGGCAGAATTTATAGCTGTAAATGTTTTCAGTGGCCCGTAGAAGACAAGATAAAAGTAAAAGCACTTACAACTACCCTAAAGATTGATTGCAGTGTCTGAAATGCCCTATAAATTTGTATTCACTTGATATCTTCAGGCTTGGGATGGAAAGAAAATGGAAGAAGATACCAATTATATAACATAAATAAAATTAAAAGTTCAGTAAAAAAAAAGGCATAAAATCTCATATGAAAACTTTATTTAATTACAAAAATGTTGTACCTTCTCAAAGTTGACTCCAAAAGTATGTGTTGGTATTATGGTAGGGGCTAGTGAATATTTTCCAGAATGATATATTTCAGAATTCATATTGAACTGTGGTGTAAAGTGCTTTTTAAAAATTGCCTATAAGGTCTTTTTTAAGAATACAGTACCAAATAATAAGCTCAATTTTGTACTCCTTGGCTACCACTTAGTGACTGTCAGATGGCTAAATCTTTGTGGTTCTGCTCATACTTTTTAGGCTTTAATTATACACATTATAATTAAAACTGCCAGCACTGACATCTTTTAATAGAAAATCAAATTATAAATGAATGAACCTGATTCACAGAGAATTTCATCCCCATGTCATCCATATTACCAATGTTTCTACTGAGAATATAGAAGCTTAAATTATTCTGAAAAATAAATCCAGTTTCATGGATGGTCCAGCAGTTATTTGGATAAAAAAGTATTAGAAACTTGTCTGCTTAATCCCAGTATTCTGGCCAAGGAAATAACAGACTACAGCCAACAGTTTTATAATTATCTTTAAAATATTCTCTGCTGTTATTTTAGCAAGGATCCTAGCCTGTCGTATTTATTAGGATATCTAAGACTAAAGAGTTGAGCTCAAGAACCTCACCTAAAAGCTAACTTGAAAGCGCCCTTTTTGAGGCACCAGCAGAACCCAGCTAAGCACGTGGTTGAGATTCTGAAACTGCTATGTGCTGTAGCCCTGGATATA